CAGATAGCTCATATCCAGGGACCAATCAGGTCGGGGCTATCTTGGCTTAATACAGGACAATTCTAATGGTTCATTTTATCTTTGGAGCTCTCTGTGGGATGTGCCAAGACTGAGATCGGCCCTGCTTCTCACCCATACTTCCTTACCTTCTCTTCCATAGGTGTTGATCTCATGGACATAACATTCTGAGAAACATCCCTAAAAATATCCAGCACATTAGTCCATTTCATTCGTGACGCGACCTCAGATCAGATGTTAGTTGCTTCCCAAAGAGCCCATTTGCAAACACCATATTACAGATGAGATGATAAAGCAGGAATCCCCCAGCTACACCATCCCTCAGCATGAACGCTAGGGGATCAAGAGTCCTTAAATAGATAAATCTTGCTTAAGACACCAAAGCTGATCTGGAATTTAGAACAGGACTCTGGGAGGTATCTCTAGGGGAAAAGGCTGGGAAGGCCCTATTGGGAGAGCCATGGAAGCCTGTGGAAGCTGGGCTGGAGTCCAACCTCTATGGAGGACAAACAGGTCTGTTTAGTGTCCAGCGCGACTACAGGAAATGACACACAGTTGCAGTAGCATACAAAAGAAGGAACTTTATTTCATTCTCTCCAACTCATAGCCTCTTTGCTAAGAGTGTCAGTTAAAATAAAAACAAAAAGCTAAAACAAAGAATCTGGGTATTTTAGCACATGGTTAACTACAGAAAAAGCATTTTACAAATCTAAGTCCTTTATTTTGGCCTGCAATGTTCATGTTGCCCAGATTTCATGTTAATCTAAATTATTTCCAGTAAGAGGTACAGGAAGACTAATTTATGCAATTGTTTGTAATCATCACCTCCTGTGGTCTTTTGAAATATTATATTTGAGGTTATTATGACTTTCTTAAATTGTATTTTAATGAATTCCTTGGGGGGACACTGTGATTAAAAGGCATGATACCCACTAAATGATGAACTAATAAAACATTCTATAAGAAAGAATTTATCAAATGAGCCTTTAGATTGGACTCATTTATCAAGCCACAGAACAAAAACAAAAATGCATAATTTTGAAATGCTTATAAGCACTTATAATTTAAGATTAGTAGAGATAGTGAACGGAATTCCAAAGTAAGGAAGGAAAGTAACTGTAGAAAATGTGCAGGAGATGAAAGTCTATCAAAGAAAGAGAAGAAATAATTGAATAATTAGAGGTTGAAAGTGCTAAAGATCAGCACGAAAATCCCTCAGAATTAAAACCATCTGAAAAAAAGTAAAATAAAAAAATAAAAATAAAACCATCTGAAACTCCCTTCTTAGCAAAAGCACTTAATTTCTTATACCTGGATATATTTATCGAACATGTATCTCCACAGGAGTGCCTGGGTGGCTCAGCTGGCTGAGCATCAGACTCTTGATTTCGGCTCGTGTCATGACCTTGGGATCATAGGATCAAGTCCTGTGACAGGCTCCATGCTCTGCAGAGTTTCTGTCTCTCTCCCTCTGCTCCTTGCCCCTGCTCTCTCTTGATCAAATAAATAAATAAATAATCTTTAAAAAAAAAAGAGAGGGGCACCTGGGTGGCTCAGTGGGTTAGGCCTCTGCCTTCGGCTCAGGTCACGATCCCAGGGTTCTGGGATCGAGCCCCGCATGGGGCTCTCTGCTCAGCAGGGAGCCTGCTTCCCCCTCTCTCTCTGCCTGCCTCTCTCTCTGCCTGGTTGTGATCTGTCTGTCAAATAAATAAATAAAATCTTTAAAAAAAAAGAGAGAGAGAATGTGTTTCCACAAATGGAGGGTTGCTGGAGGGTAGGTGTGTGGGGGATGGGCTAAATGGGTGATGGGTGTTGGGAAGGGCCCTTGTGATAAGTTACATGTAACTGGGTGTTATATATAAGTAATGAATCACTAAGTCCTACTCCCAAAATCAATACTATGCTACATGTTACCAATCTAGAATTTAAATTAAAACTTGAACAGCAACAACAAAAAAAAAAGAATGTATTTCTAAACAAAATAAAACAAACAACAACAAAAAGAATGTTTCTCAAAATTTACCATCAAAATCCAAGAAGGAAAGACAGTAGCTCTTTCTGGATATCCCCTCAATAAGAAACATGGATGGAAGCAATCTAGCCCATTGAAAGCAGAGCTTTAGAACAGAATAATTCTTAAATTTCTTTCTTGATACTCTTTAAATCAAATGTTCCTTTATAGTTAAAATAAATTACTTAGAAATTATATTCCTTTCTCTGCACTTTAAAGATGCTTTTAGTGTTGGTTTTGTGGGTGAGGGGAGAGGTGGGTGGAGAAATGAGATGAAGAGAAACGGTCGCCCACAGTAGGCTAAAGGCTTCAATATCCAACGAGCAACAGACTTTAGACAAAGTAAGACAAGACAGAGACCAGAAACCACCACCCAGCATCCAGGCTGACACGTGTCAGCCTGTCCAAAGCTGGGTCAGATCTACACGTGGGTGAGGGAGCTAGATTGGGTTGTAAATTGCCACAATCAATAGTGAAGAAAAACAAGATTAAACACAGCACATGACACTCAGTTGGGATATTTCAGTTTGTCAACTCTGCTAGCCCCCGTTACAGTCTGATGTGTTGGGGAGACTCCAACCTCGTCCGTATAAAAGAGTCGATCAATCCTAGAACCCACCATCTTGGTCAGCTTTGGAGTACTGACCTACCTAGAGGCGGGAGAAGCTAAGGCTTAAAAGCCCCCCTTGGTACCCACCCAACACTCCCCCACCCTGCGGTCTTGGCTTCATCAGAAATCATAAAATAGACTTTTAAGTGAGATTCCAGACATGCTGAACACAGTGTAGCCTAACAGGGCTCTTGGAAGCTCAGAGAAGCTGCAACATGTGGCTGGGAAGGACAGCTTGCCTGATTTCCAGATGCCACCGAGACTCCTCTCAGTTAACACCAGTGACAGTCACTGCCTGAGATCTCTCATGAGTAAATGAATTCAGTTAAACCTATTGCTCTTGTCTCTGGCTTTGGCCAAACCGCACCCCTCCTCCCCGCCTTGTCATGCTAGTATGATCTGCCTCATTCAACACAAGCTCTTGCCCATGTGCAACCCACAGCACTCTAGCCAGTTTCAAATTAAGGGAGAAAAAGGGGTTATTATTCTCTCTGGACTTACCTACTTAGTCTGAGGTCTTGTAAGAAATAAATCTTGAGATATCCTTCTGTTGGTAAAAATGTATCTAGTCAAAATTAGGCGTATCCAGAGCATCTCCCCAGATAAAGAGAATGCTATTTAGGCAACTAGAGTCAGTGTGAGCTGTTCCTTTAATGCTGGAGGGCTGTTTCCACCGAAATCCTGCTTCTTTCATACTTGCTTGGGGATTCCTCAGGAACTGTGGAGTCCCACTCTAAGACAATGACTAGATCTGGGAAGCACTATGGAGCGTAAAAATCACATATTAACCATCCTACTAAGGAAGTAAGGGCAAGTGAGATCACAACCTCTCAGGGAAAATCAGCAACAAATACAGGCTCACAGGCGTTTGCCCTGTTGGCATGGGTGATTTGTGTATAGCCGTCGATGCAAATTAAGGCAAACACCTCTCCACACCGAAGTCATTTTTAGAAAGCAGACAGCATTCTTGAAGGGCTGAATTGCTGTGTAACTACAATGCATAAATGTAGAATACAATGATCTTGGAAATAAGAGGTCTCAACCAACCCTTTCTCTGGAATAGGGTCATCTTGGAGATAGAAATTCTGTGTCTTAGGAGAGGAAAACCACTTTATAAAGTGGCAAGAGAAGAGCCAGATACGAAACTGTTGTTAAAATATTACTAGTCAGTGGTACTCGTTGCTCTTAAAATTTGTCAATCGATTTATTCTCAGAGAAAAGATGGCATAAAAGAGTGGAGCTTACAGAGATAGAAGCAAGTTGTGGAAAAGCTTTGGAAACGTGGTAAAACTGTTTGCAATGACCATAAGAAAAAGAGCGTGTGCAGAGGGGAGCTATGTGAGGTGATCTCTGGAATAACAATACAGAGCGAGTTAAAAATCAAGGGACGGGATCGAGTAAGCAATTACCCAAATCCTGACAAAATTAACTTGAAAGGCAAGCTGGGTTATGCATGAAAAAGGTCAGTGTCCCTTTCTTTGTTTCCAGTGCCCCCGAGAAACATCGGGGTGGGATGGGATGGAGCAGCGGCGGGGCCCCCAGCTGCGGTGGACAGCACGGACTGAACGAAGCAGCGGGCTGGGCTTCCTCGGGATCCACGGAATACTGACCCCCCAACCCCGCGGGGCGCGGCCCCTCACGCGCCACCCCGCCCCAGGGGCTCGCGGCGCCCCCTCCTGGGCACGTGCACACTGCGCGCTCCAGCTCCTGAACCCAGGCTGACTCGGTAATTTCAGCCCAAGGGAGACAGAGGCAAGACCCTCTTTCTGGTGCTTTCACGACACCTGAAAGATGGAGCCCCTCCAAGCAGCAGACACAAAGTGATCCCAGAGCTTCGGCTCTTTGCTGCTGTCCAGGCTCTTCACCGGGAATAACTTACTTAGTGGCAGAGGAGGAAAGGTGGGAACGGAGGCTAACCCCAAAGTCCCCTAGCGTGGAGCGCCCCCACGTCTCCAGCTTCATTTTGGAGGGGTGGGGTTTGGTTCGGTCGCCTCCGCTCCGGCGCGGATTTGGGAAGGGGCCCGTGCGGTGTCCCCCACCTCCGCCCCAACCCGGGGAAGGGTATGCGCGGTGGGTGGGCGTCTCCTGACCTCGCGCTCCTCCCCTCCGCGTCCCTGCCCCCTGCCTCTCCGGAACACACTGTGTGGCCGCTTTCCTCCAGCACGCGGCGCTGCGCTCGCTTTTATCCGCGGAGCCGCGCGGGTTCGTGCGCGGCCAGCGGGCTCAGCCCGTCCGCTGGAATTGAGGAGCATTCATTGAATCTGCGGCTTTCATGACGTCTCTCTGCGTGGCCCATCACTTTTCTCCCAGCCGGGATTTTTTTTTTTTTTTTTCCGCCACTCTTGCTTTTTTTTCCCCTTCCCTCCACCGGTCTGCCGTCCGCGTCCCTTCCCGACGCACACCCCTCCGCCCCTCCTGTGACCCCGCGCCCAGCCCTCCTCTCCGCTCGCGGCCAGAGGGAGCCAGTTTGCAGACGGCCGCACCTGGCCGGAGAGGTTGGGCCGGTGGAGGGGTGGGGATCCGCGGGAACCGGGAAGCCAGACCCAGAGCTGGGTGCACCGCCAGGAGAATGGAGACTCCTAACAGCCTCCCGGGGCTGATGTGAAATTTGACCATCTGATTCCAGCTTGTCTTTCCTTTTCTTTTTATATTTTCTCCCCTCACCATCCATCGTGTACTCAATTATCAAATCTTGCTCCGTTCCAAGAGGAGATCATGATTGAGTGAAACCACCCTGTCCGCAGCAAGGTAAGCGGTGCGCTGAGTTGCTCGAAGGCGAGAAGCTGGCACAATCTGGGCAAAACGTTCCGTGCCCTCGGGTCTCCACCTCCCCCTCCCCAGTCTCCGTCGCTGCATGCTCCACGCTGATGAGAAACATGATGCCCAAGTCAAGGGAAAGGCGAGGGAGAAGCCGGTTACATAACGGAAGGGAAATCTGTTTCATAGGGTTTTCATTAGCAACTGAAAACTCGCAAGGGGGGCGGGGAGAGGAGGGGGTCTGCATGCCCCGGGCACAGAGAAACCCAGGCAGTCATTGCAGACATCATTTCAACATACGTTGGCAAAGAAGAAATGCACTGATTAACTGGTAGGGGCGGCTTGCGGTGTAGTCATTTACAGTTGGGAAAAGCCCATTGTCTTTATGGAAAGCTGTATCCTTGTTCTTTGCATAGAGGAGAGAGACGGAGACGGAGACATAGAACATGAGAAGGAGGAAAAGGAAAAGTGAGGGGTGGGGAGAAACCGGCAGAAAATGGGAAACAATAACTTCTAACTGTTGTCTATCAGTAAAACCAAGGATGTGATATGATGGCTACAAACAGTGAATAGGAAGCTCTCCCCAGAAGTAAACTGAATTGTTTTGTAACTGGAAGGGGAAAGAAACCCTCAGATGAAATGAGATGTTTATGGCATTTAGGGGGTTAGACTAATCCGCTGACTTGCTTCCTCCTGGGTATATTTTCATTTGCATGAAGACATTAAGCCTGAATTAGTTTTTTAACAGAAATAACATTAGTATTCCCCAAACCCAATAAAACCTTGGGTCAATCCACAGGTATATCTCTTGTACCAACCTCAATATGGAGAGATGCTTAAGGAGGAAACATGGTAATAGGAACAGCCACAGATATGGGGTGAGGTTGATGGAGAAACAAAATACCAGAATTTTCCAAAGAATCCCGCCTCCACTCCCAAAAAAGGAAGAGAGAGAAAAAGGGGGGGAAAAACTCCTGTGTTTAGGAGTTGGAAATTCATTATATGTTTAGAGTGTCTCCTGCTTGCTTTTATCTAAAGTCTGATGGTTCAGGGGACCCCCCCCCCCACCATATAGGTTGTAAATCACATCTCTACTAGCTCCTCACCCTGCCTACCTTTCTTTTGCTGAAAAACAGAGGAGTGGGATACCCAGGAGCTGATTAGAAAGAAAAAGGGGCTTGCTGTAGTCAGGGCATAGCTAACTAAGCTTCGCCCATTTTGCCTGGAGAAAGAAAAGAGCTGAGTCTCCATGGCGACCCAGGTGGGAGGGGAGAAGGCAGCTCCAATTACAACAAAAAACATTGGACAAAACTTTCCCAGCTTCAGGCGAAGGAATAAGCCAGTCAGGTATTCTGTGGAGGGTCCCAGGGTATCAGCAGTGCCCAAGTTCCTGCCCGCCACCCGCAAGGGGGCTTCGAGAACTGGCCGGCACCCTCAAACCTCCCAAAGTTGTCCAGAGGCCACGGAGATGGTTCAGGCAGCAGGTTTCGGATTCAGCACCAAGGCCAGAGCACAAGAGCCAGGTTCCCACCTCCCAGTTGACTACCCCTGCGAATGTTATTAGCTCCTTTGGTGACAGAAGCGATCACTTTCTGTAAATGAACGGATGTCTTGCCCGTGCAGAATCTGGATATCTGATTATCCACGGAATTGCGTGGGACAGAGAAGCTTGCAAATCATCCATTTCACGCATGGCGGTGCATCAGAGTAACTATTCAAAACCGAGAACACTGAAGCAGCAAAAGATCCAGGTTGAACTGAGAATGGAGAATGATCCTGTCCTCAGGGAAGCAGAGGGGTGCGGGGTACCCACGCACGCATGTACACACACACACACACACACCCCAGACCAGTCTCTAATGAGAGTTGTCTAGTTTCAGCCAAGTCCCTTTGGTTTCAAAAGCATCCATTCATTTCTTACCCTCTCACTGTCCTCTGTACTTTTTGTCGGGCTTAGATGACAGAAAGACTGTAGGAGTGAGACAGTGAGACAGCAGTTAACCAAATCCTTTCGAGGGGTCCTGGAGGGCAGAGAAATAAAATACTCTTAGTCCAGACCTGACAGACTTTCTAAAAGAGCTCATGAGCTCCAGGAAAGGGAAGAAAGTATGCTAGTGAGGTGAGAAGCAGTAACTGTATCTTTAAGGCAGCATGTGAGTAGGGCAGCTACATTTCGAAGGTTGTAGGGCATAGGAAACTGGGAGACGAGACGGAGTCACTTCTCTTAATAGAAACAAGGAAGAAACTGTGCAAGAGGGGAGGATTTATTTTAACTCAAGTTCTGTTTCAGCATTCATTGAGAGAAAACAGGTAAGTCTCTCTTGCCATTCTGCCTTCACCTGGGGCAAAGCTGGTCTCTGTCCTGCTGTCCTCATCTTTGGTCTTAAATCCTCAGACCCCCAATACAGATGAGGAAAAATAGTGGAGGAAGGTGCAGTCACATTTCTAATAGACTGTTTTTGTGAATAGCATCCAGGTGTTACAAGGTACGGTTTGAATTGCAGAGCCCAGTCAAAGTTTGACAACTGGTTGGAGATACTGAGTGCCTTTACAATACACTGTGTTGCTTTTCTCTTTTGAAGATGCCCTTGTGTGTGTGTGTGTGTGTGGTGTGTTTAATCTTGAGCTGGTTCTGCTTTGTTCTCTCCAAACGAGAGCAATCCTGGTTTTCTTGGCTGGCTTTTGCAACTGTGGCTGTGCCATTGCTTTCTAAAGGTGATGTGTGCAGAGCACTCAGGACTTGGTTAAAGCAGTGTGCTTATACCTTCCAGTTTTTGTTTTTTATCGTTTGTTTTTCATGATCTCTATTGAAGGCAGAAGCAATCTATTCCAAACCTGGTTAAAAGACGAGATGTTACACTATTTCTTCCATTTCAGTTCCTGATGGATATTGATAAGTTTATCCGTGATGTAATTTATTAAAAGAGTTGCTATCTAAAGTAGAGAGAAATGGTGCATGGAGTACTGTTAGGACTTGAAGCAACTATACCTTGGCTTTTCTCCATCTCATATTATCAGCAGAAGAGAAGTAGAGATTAGTTATGAAGATAAAGCCATATAAGAATATAGGTCATTCAATAAAAAAGATCATTTATCATGTATTTGTGAGTTCTAAAGCTCAATTTCTCTCACGAATTAAAAAAAAAAGATGGGAATATAAATGATCTAGGTATAGAAAATTGTTTAATCAATTATCTTCAGTTCTGGTAGATTCTATGTTCATATATTCGGTGCTAATTTTTCAAACTAGGACTTGCTTTCTTCTTCTTCTTGGGGGGCTAATTGCTAAGCAAAGCATCATTATGTCCTAATGACAGTCAATGGCATACTCCAAAATAATTAGTCTACCCATTTCAAGTAAGATTTGTTAAGGAGACTTAAAATTAATCCCTGTGCACTGGGAACATTTTTTATAATATTTTAAAAATAATTTTGACACCTAACCCTGGTATTTCCTAAGTATCATTAAATAAGGTATATTAACTTTTATGACCCAGGTCTTTATTTAATACATAGGACTTATATAGACTCTTTCCTTTGAGTATAAAGAAATGTTTTAATTCACTCTCAAATTTCCCCCCATCTTACAAACTATATCTGCTTTACAGAATAAAAGAAAATAATACATCAGAAGAGCTGTTTAATAAGCAATAGAAAAAAAATTTATTGGCAATTAAAAATAAATAATATGCTCTTATTGAAGCTTAACCCCATTCACTGATTTTCATAGGTAGAAAGTGCTGCTTTTTTCGAATGTTGAATCTTGGTTATGTGAATCTTCACGGAAATAAGATAAAGCCTCCTTATCAATATGGGCAAGTAGGCAAGGTGAAGCCCTTTTTCAATAACTCTTACAAATGATATGTAAGAATATGTAGATTAATAAGGGAAAGAGACCAGAGAGCATCAGAACAAGGGGAAGGAAGCTAGGAGGAAAGGCTAGCATTTAAAGCTACTATATTTTTATCAGCATTAAAGTAATGACACTTCTGAAACCAAGGATTTTTTTGTTTGTTTTTTAATTCATTGTAATAGGACTTCAAGGTTCGTGGAACTGAGATGTTTAAATGTAAACAACTTTGGATTTACAGCTTATTGAGATGGCATTTATTGTTTCTTTCCTTTATTTCAAATGTCATTTTAAATATCAAAGGAGAATTGATTCACTCTGGATTTTTTCAGAATTATTAAATTTAATATCAATTAAAGGGAAATGAGTAGTTAAGTTGAAAAATCATCAAGACACTTATCGAATTAAGGTTTTCTTTCTAGTTGTAGTTTGAGTGTTCAGGGAGATAAAAAAAAATAAAATGCAACCATATGGGATAATACATTTTATAACATATATTAAATAATTAGCTCTAGAAATAATTAAGATCCTTAAAGAAAAGATCATCATAAGCATAGTTAGTGCTCTAATGATACTCTGATAAAGTACTAGAATATACACATACTTGATATCATTTTATTAGCACTAATTAATAACACAAAGTTATTTCTCTCAAATAAAGAAGGACAACGCCATCTTCTTTTTTCTGAGGTGTAATTGATGTATAATATTGTATTAGCTTCAGGCATACAACATAGTTACTTGACATTTGTATACACTGTGAACCAGTCATCACAGTAAGTTCACTTACCATCTATGACCCTACAAAATTAATACAATATTATTGATTATATTCCCCATGCTGTATATTATACAACCATGACTTACTTATTTTATAAGTGGAAGTTTTATTTCTTAATCCTGTTCAGCCAGTTCATTCCTACAAACCATCCCCACCCCCTGCAACCACCAACCTATTTTCTGTATCTATGTGACAAGGTTTTGTTGGTTTTGTTTTGTAGATTCCACATGTAAGTGAAATCATGCAGTACTTGTCTTTCTGTGTCTGATTTATTTTGCTTGCAAAATACACTGAAGACCCATCCATGTTGTTGCAAATGATAAGATTTCATTCTTTTTTATGGCTAGGTAATATTCCATT